TCTTCATTAATATGATAGTCATGGCTTTTGTTTTATTTTGGGATTATTTTTGGGGGGGTGGGCGGGTGGCAAAGAGTAATTCATTTAGAGGTACGGTATTGCAAATCATATAATGTATATATGTATTTAATTTTAATTCTGACATGTTGCCTTAGTAGTACTGAGCACACCTTTGAGTAACAATTCGTTAAGATGCCATTTTGTATGTACAGGAAAGATAGATTTTGATCTTGAGCAATGTTAAAATTTAAAAAAAGGCAAATGAAAATAACCAATTCCATAAAGGTATTTTCAGTGTTAACTGCCTACTGTTCTGTATGGTGGTATATGTTTAATGTGGAATTTTCCATTTTTTAAACAAAATATATTGAAAGCTTGTCTTTAAGAAAAAAAGTATTATTTGTGTGCCCTGATCCTGCAATGGTGCATATGCTTTCACAGAGTTACTCATGTGCTTAATGTGAACAAAAATGAGGCTCATACAGCCTGTGAGCTGGAAAGGTTGTCATGGAAGTAGAGAAAGACTGTACTAGATACCTTTGCTTGCCAATTAATTCCAACACTCCACCCACCCACCCCCATGCCATCCCCTATAGAATACTTGATCATGTTGTGCTTGATGAGGATGTGTGTGTGAAAATGCCAATTCAATTATAATTAAAAAACAAACAAAAACAGCCCAAACAAACACAGACAAAAATCCAATAAAACTAAAAAACAATAATAGGGGAAACAATATAAGGATTTTACCTTCCAGGTTTTGTTGTCCTTACGCAGTAACATATTTGTGGAGAAAAATATATGCAGACTGATATATTTATTGTAGATATCTATATTTCTTTAAATATTCTTTGTCCTGACACGACACACTCTGCCTGTTTTGCAATGCTGTACATAAGAGAAGAGGAGGGTCGTTCCTGTCTCTGCAAACTATCATCTTTCACTTTAAAACATATGATGGGATAGTCCTTACCATGAAAATGTACATTGCATTCAGATTGCCTAAAATGTCTCACTCCTTGAGAATAATTTTTGATAAATCAATGAAAATGATAAATGGCATGTAAAAAACACAGTTTGGGCTGGCCTAATCTGGGATCCGATTTATTAACGTATTTCTGTCTAAAGGTAGAATGTCATCTCTGAACTGTGCCTTCCATGTATGCTTTCCAGATCAGAAACAAAAGCAGCGAGTCAGACATTTAAAAATACACCACCACCACCCAAGTACATATTTTGTGCCTTAGCATTTCCTGTTACTGTAAACAGCATTAGTCCTTTCTCAAAAGTGCTGTTCTTTTGGATCATTTAGTGAAAGACATACGGTTTGGGCAAATTTAATTTTATTGTTATTGCTGTAGTCATGGTATTAAATTTCAGCTACATCTGTGCAGAGATCACTGTTCACATAAGGCTTTATTAGGAGTGAAGAAATAAGTATCCTGATACCATTCTTGCTTAGGAATGATTCAAGCAACTAGTTAAGCAACATACTCCATTCAACTCTCATTCATGCATTTTTGAAAGGAAAACAAGGCTCTAAATCAGAGTCTGAATTTTCAAAAGCTTGAGTGGTGCATGCAAGCCTGTTCCTGCTACATGTGTGTATTTTGGGAGATAGGCTTGCATGGGTAGGATTATCAAAGGGGCGTATTTGTACTAAAGGATGGACTAGTAGAATAATAAAATAATAATAATAATTAATAGCTAGCTCTTTTTTAGTTCTTTTCATCAGTAGATCTCAAAGCACTTTAGAAAGGAGGTAATGAAAAAAAGAGACTCACAAGTGTATTAGAAAATAAACTATTCAATTCACAGCTATTCATGGCATCTTACTGTTCATGACTGATGAAAAATTGGACAGTGACCAGATGTCCATGAAAAATATTTGAGAATTTTGTAAATTACTGCAATTGTTATATTCATTATTTGCTATTCTTTATTTACCATTTATCATTCATTATTTCCACGCTAAAAAGGATTCAGAGAGAAACAAAACCATATGGTGTGGAAGCTCAGTTGTTCATTTGCAGAGGTGGTAGAAAAATCTTGAAATTCAAATCTGACCCATTTTTTCTTTTAAAAAAATGTGATTTCCCCCCCCCAATCAGTTCTATCTATTTGCATAATTTGCTGAATGGACTTTTCTGCTTTGCAAAAGGTTCATGAAGCCAAAATTCAACAAATTATATGTTTGACAAATACTATTTGCCCCAGCTCTGATTATGGGAGTGGCCTAAATATAGCAATGCACAGGACACTTTCAGACCTGTGTGGGGCCAAAGGTGACTAATTGAATGAGCCCATGGAAACCAGTTATGGTTTTGTCAAGTGCAAGCCAGGAGGCACAGATAACCTCCACTCAACCTTCCATGAGGCTCAAGTATGTACTTGTGCAAGAGAAAGAGGAAAAGACAGAAGTTTTAGTGGGAGTTTTAGGGGCAAGAGACCTCCTCTCGCTCACTAACATCATGGCCGTATTTGTGTCTGCTTGTCCTTGGTATATATGGAAACCTCCTTCTTGTGTTCTGCTGTGAATATCTACAGCGTTGATCCTGGCTGCAATTGTCTCATAACCCTTGCTTCTGACTAACATGCAGTACATGGTCCTACAACAGCTTAGGCTCCAGTACTTCACTGAGGAAAAGTTTTACCTTTCTTCTGGTTTAAGATCTACACCTGGGAGAGGGACCATGTCCCACGTGGTCTGAGACTGAGACTGAGACTTGCTACCCTAGAGCAGCGGCACACTATATCTTGGTTAGTGCCTGAGAGAAACCTAACTTCTTTCCTGGCCTGCTGCTCTTCATTCACATTTGCTGCTTGGTGTAAGCGCAGCATCAACCAAGTATCTAATGCAGCCCACTAAGTCTCGCAGACTAGTGGGGGATAAGTTCACACTGGCCTTTATCCCTTCTTTAAAAAAAGAAAGAAAATAATTTAAAAGAGTCTACAGCTATGAATCTAAAGTTGTGTACAAAAATAAAATAAAATAATTAATTTAAAAAATAGTGGTCCTGATTCTCCTGACTTATAGCAATGAAACTCCATTGACTTCAGTAGAACTACTTCAGATTCCCTCTGGTATTAATGGAAGGGGAAGCTGGCCCTTTATTTTTTGGAGAAAGGGTATATAATCACATGCATACAGATTGTAATGCAATGTATATGCCCAATGGAAAGTGCATGTTCTGTGTTCAACCTGTATTTCATATTTCCTGACTTTTGAGTGCTTCATTGTGAAACCTTAATGTCTCTTAATACATTCACAGGCAGGACCATAGCTTTTAAAATACAGCCCTGAGTAGAACTAACATGTTCCTGTGAAGAGTACGAGAGAGAATCAGGCCAGCACAATCTCTATCCAGGGCTGATACACAAAAGGGTTGAGCTATCTGCATTGTCCTCTATCACACTGGCCCTATATCCTGGATAGGTGTAGAGGTGGGGTAGACTCATGACCCTGCCTCCTCCTTGTCCCTCCCCACCCTCTTTTAGACATGCTGTTCTTGTGGGGAGGGGAGCAATTCTGACACGCCTTAGAGTGCTAGGACTGCTATTGTCAGTGGGACTGGGGCAGCCATACCATGTATAAGGGCAGTTTCTGGTAGCTGTGCAGAGACCTCTCATGTTCCAGGCATATAAATATATATAGCATCATATATCTGTATACGACATATTTTGTATGCCATCTCTACACAAAGCAATGACATCTATGGAATGGGCCGAAGTCTAGTATTTTCCACTAGCTAAAGTATGTGATTTCAAACAGGTATTTCCTGAAAATGGCTTTGTACTTTCATCTTTCCAAATGGGAATATTATATTGAAAAATGGTCGTATGAACGTCATGAAATAATAATGTATTGTTTCTACTAAGCAGAATAAAATATTATACATACAATATCAGTCCAAGGAAAAAAACCTGAGCCAATAAATCAGATTTTAGGAAAGCAACTAAAGGGAATATAAACCAGAACTATAAAAAGTTTTAGGGTTTAAAACAATTAACTGCACAGTGATTTTATTTTCCAGGGAAAACACTTACTTATAGTCATATTTATTTTTCAATGTTGTTCAGATCAGGGCTGGTTAGTGCCTTTCTCCCATTCTTCTAGGTAATGGGAGGATATTGTGCAAAGCACTGGCTGGGAAATTCTTAGTTGTCCAGGAAGAGTGAAATGCAATGTATCACATCTCTCCTTCCTCCACCAGCAGGGTATATAAATCTGTGCATGTTTAATTTTGTCCAGTGACACTAAGGCAAAGTACTGCTGGTGCAAAAAGTGCCATGCATAAAGTCTAGATGCCTAATATCCTTGTGGTATGCTGGAAAGTCAGACTAGATGATCAGAATGGCCATATCTGGCTGGAAAATCCATAAAGCAGTTATGGAAAAAAGGTTTTCAGGAAAATGGACTTTTTCTCCTTTTCCATCAATATTCGTCATATTTTTTGTGGGGGAAAAGAGCGGTTAAAAAACTCCACAAACAAACAAATAAAAAACACCACACCCAACTCCCCTGAAAACCAACCATTTGTGGTAAAACACAACCCTATTTGGCTTGGTTTTTGTTTGAAACACAAACTCAAAATGTCATTCAAAAGCCATTTCCTGTGGAGATTTTCATTTAATCAAAAAGGCCATTTTCTCGTGAAAAAAGGTTGATTGAAAATTTTAAACTAGGTCTCATTTCTTAATTCTCAGCCAAAAAAGACCCAGGGCTACAGCAACTTAATTTACCTAGCTGAAAAGGATGTAGAGCTCGGTAGATCTTGCTGGTATCTCCTAATTTTGTGTAATTCCTTAGCCTGACATTTGTTGCAGATATGCATGAAGGAACTTCTCTAGGGGAGATGAGCGGCTTCTCAGGGGAAAGAAAATTTTGTTTGATGTCTAGCTACTTCCCTCCCTCCCTCCCTGTGTTTTTGGCCCCATCTCTCTGTCCCTGCACCCCAGTCTCACACATGCAATCATGCAAAAAAGTGACGATGCCCCTAGCCTGACCATCTTCGGCAGCACATATACTAAAATTGGAATGATACAGAGAAGGTTAGCATGGTCCCTGCACAAGGATGACATGCAAATTGGGAGGAGGGATAGCTCAGTGGTTTGAGCATTAGCCTACTAAAATCAGCATTGTGAGTTCAATCCTTAAGGGGGGGGCGGGTATTTAGGGATCAGGGCAAAAATCTGTCTGAGATTGGGCCTGTTTTGAGCAGGGAGTTGGACTAGATGACCTCCTGAGGTCCTTTCCAACCTTGATATTCAATGATCTCACAAAATCAGGCACCAAACCTATCAGCATTGCTTACAGGATCAGGATGCTCCCATACAACATGTCTCAGGCAGGGAGGAAATTTTTATTTGTTGTTTTTCTATTCTAAATAACCAGGCACCATTAAAATCATGAATTCAAACTGTTATAAAAGAGCTTTTTCTAAAATAAAATGTAGTAATAAAAAGTACAGTACCATGACACTCTATTTTTTTCTACTCTTTCACTTTTACAGCTATAGCTTTGTTATATCTTTCTTCTTATCTTCAGTGTTTATATTCTTCCTTTATACCTTCCATCCTACAACCCTCTTTTTTTAATAAAATCCTGCTACCTGATCTTGACTCCCTCACTGCACTGAGTTCCTCTCCTCCAGCTGTCTCCTTCTCCCCCTCTTCATTCTGTAGAAATGACTGGCAGCATGGTCCCACTCACCCCCTTTAACTAAATCTAAAGGTCTCTCTCTCTCGCTCTCTGCCCTCCATCCTTCTTAATCTTTGGGCTGTCTTTAACCCTACTTACCACTTGCTGTTCCGCAAATGAAGAGCACAGAGAACTCAGACAAAGCTCTTCACAGCTATAAAATAAGCTAATGGGAATTGTAACCTATGAAAACAGTATAAATGAACTCAAGGTGCTGTGCATTGACTTATAGAGAAGAAGTAGGCTTTGGAGTATGGTGATCAAAAAGTTAAAGGTTTGACTAAATTGTCAGTTCTGAAAATATGTGTAATAAAGAACTCACAAAATCCATTACACAGTTTCCTTGAACTAAGAAGTCTGGGTAGTGCCATATGCTTTTTGAATGGAAACTTAAAAAGCCTTCTATGATCTTTATAGCCTGATGATTGGAGTTTGAAATATAATAAACATGTTTTAAAGCTTCATCATGAAGCCATACATAGATAAGAATGATGGTTAGACTGATGAAGGCAGTTATTCCTAAACTCTGTTCAGACAATCCCTCACTTACAAAAGTGATCATGTTTTCTCAGAGTAGTTTGAGATGATTATCACATTTAATATATAACTGTATTATTTTAAAAAATGCTTGTCTTTAATTGATGTTAAAGATTAAATCACTATAAAATTAAGAAGCCTAATCTTGTGCCCCTACTTTGTTTTGAGTAAAGAATGTATAGTAGTGTTGGTGTACACATTGGATTATTATTCTACTCAGAGTTAGTCTGAAAACATCTTTTATTTGTTTTTTAGCACCCACTTTCTGGTAAGGATGGATACATACCATACATCTTCTTTTAGTAACTTGTTACAAGCACTATACATTTTATATGATCATCATGCTCACAGTACTATAAGCATCATTCTTTAAATAACTAATTGCATGTTTCAATGTCCCTGAAACAAACAATGCTATGTTTTTAGAATACATAACAAGACTAATATAGAATCTAGTGAACTCTTAGGGCAAAATTCTGTCCTGTGGTTGAGCAGAAGAGTGTGTGTTAAAAACTGTTAGAATTATATTTCTACAAAGTCATAAACTGAATAGTATTTAAAAACAAACACAAGGAGAGAAGGTCATGGGAATCTTCACCTTTCACCAGACTCCCTCCACAGTACTCAAGGGAGTGCTAGGAAGCATATCTAGCTAATGTTCCTGTGCACACACAAGTGAGCACAATCATTAACTCAGAGACTGTGTCCATTGACTTCAGGGTTACACAAGTATAAAAGAAAGAAGAATTTAGCTCCAGTTTTAATACTTCAGAGGCAAATGAATTGGCTTTATTAGAGTTGTGTGACTTTTAGCTGAACTGTTAACTGCAGTGGTAAAACCTCAATACATTCACATCCAAAATACAAGTTTCTCCTACTGGATCTATATTAGGCTTGTCCTCAGCTGAATTTTCATTTTATATTCCAAATTTGTCTGATTGTCTCAATGAGGTTTGATAGAACAGCAGCTTACATCTGTGGATGCTTTGCTATTGCCTCATGCTGAAGCCATCAGCTATAATCAACTCAAAAGAGCATGAGTCACTGTCATAGTACAGCTGCAGCACAGGATTTGTGGATCACAGACTTGCTTAAATCAGTGAAGAGAGGAAGGACAGAAATAAGTCAAGAGCCTAAAATACAGAAAAATGAGGGTTGTTTTTCTCTTTTAATTTTAAATCCATTATAAACTGGAATCGTTCTTTTTACAAAATTCCAGGTAACAGATAATTATTAGTCATTCCAAATAACTCAGGTGACTGTGATTTGAAAGTGCTATCCTGAATCCCCCCACCCCCAATTGATTTACATGGGATCTGATTACCAGTTTTAGAGGCTCTTGACTCCACCTGTGTTCAGCTCCCCCAATCAGCTCCATCTAGCTCTCTAATATTTTATCCCATAGTCCCCAATTTTTTGTTTTTTACCACTAAAAATAGTTTGCCTTTTTCACTTCTTCTGGCCAGGAGAGTTAAGTGCATCTGTAGGATCACCAATACCAGCCACCAATGAATACACTAACACAGCCAACATGACTTAGAAACGCCTAGCTCAAAAGAATAACAAGCTGGTAGTTTCCCCAGTCATCTCATTGGGAATGTGCCACTAAGTGATGCCATAATTCAGAAGTATTCACATGTTCACTCACAAGGTTAATGATAGTCTCTACCAACAAGTTCTGCAGCCTTCTTCAGAGGAAACCCTGATTGTAAATAAATACACCTTAAAGGTAGGAGTGCCCAGTGTTTACTTCATAATATCATGGTAGGAGGAAAGAAGCTCTGTAATGTGTACCCTGTGATTTGAGTGTTCTCTCCTTATCAGGTTTCCTATAAAGTTTTAATACAGGTTTTAAAGAAAATTAGGATAATCTTTTGTATTATCCCTTAATTAATTGGACTTTATTTTTCAGTGGCTGATTTCTCTGTCACAGTCACTTTAAAAGAAACATATGAAACAGGAGTACTTTGTTTGGCTGTTTCTATGAACAGTGGCTGTAAATCTACATCTGGGAAGAGGGAAAAGGTCAATAGGAAGGAAAGGTGATAATGCCTTTTACATGTAAGTATTGGGCATACAACTGGGAAAAGCACTCATAATTTTTTGGGACAAATCTAACTCATTTTATATTTGTGCACTTCTGCAAACAGGCTTTGATATTTTCAATGTGTAGAGACCTCTATGCACTTTCTGAAATGGTGGTAGAGATACTATTGCAATGGTCACACCTAGTCAGTCAGAACTGTTTTTGAGTCTATATTTTCAATATGCCTCAGCACAAGGGTAGTTTCATTATAGTTTTATCAATGTATAAAACAAGTCCCCCTTTTTCAAATAATTAAGTACATTCTTAAATTTACTCCTGTGAGTAAACTAAGTATGTACCTTATTTTTTTGCAGGATTGGAGCCTAGGGATCCAAGTGTAAGGTCCCATTAGGGATAGAAAAGAATGTTTGTTTATTTTTCAGGGTGTGTTCAAGAGGGGAAGGGGGATATGTTTTATGTGGAGCACTGATGGGCAGGCTGTATAAAGAGTAAACTTATTTTTAAAAAATAGTGTTTTGAGTCAATCTAAAAAGGAAATCATTTTGTGAAATTTCACAGAAGATCATTTTTGTCCAACAAAACCAGAAAGTCAATAAATCAACAAAGAGGATGACTTTTGTAACCAAAAGGTCCTGTTCTTGCATTCCTTGGCTGCTCCCATTTACTTTGGTTAGCATTTGGGATATAAACAGCAGAGAGAACTCCAAGGCAGCTGCTCAATGTAGTCTGGCATGTTTGTTAATTTCAGGGTGGAGATATTTACTACAGCCACAATATTAGTATATAGTGTTTTCATCTTGATCTGTGAACTAGAAACAAACAATTCATTTTTAGCCATTATTTTAAAAACATCAATAGATTCTTAAATGAAATAGAAAGGGAGGTGTGGAGTAGAAGTGAGTATCTTTAGCTCTGATTCTGCAACTGTGCAGCCCACTGTGTGAGTGTAGGAGGCATCTTGTATAAAATCCTCAGGCACAAAGGACTGCCAATGTGAATCCAATTACAGTATCAAGGCCAGTATCAAGTTAACTCACTGGATTTTGTAAATGTATGCAAAAATATCTTCCAAAACAGCTTAACCTAGTGAAATACTTAGCTCTGAAATAGCTCTGGCATGTTTTCTTGGTCTTCCTTATTAGCTGCTTGGTTTAAGTGGGGATAATGATGAGTAAATTCCTTTAGCATTCTTATTGACTGTAGTCTTATAACATTGACTGTGATATGAACTGACTTTGTGAATGATTGGAAGCAAAACCTCAGGACCTGAAAAAAATTAGTCTTTTAGGGTTCCAAAGATCATTGACAAGTAAATTTTTTCCCAGCTAATATCTGTATATGGTACAAAACTGCATGGGAATAGGAAAAATACATATTCAGAGAATGTACCCAGGAAGAATAGAGTGAGTACAATCCAGATATCTGTATGCACAGACTCATGTAATTGGTTAGATTGTCGGCTCTTTTTCAAGTGGTACCTTCAGTGATTTCTAGTAGGCTGTTTAGAGGCACTTCCCTTCTTTTTCTTTCACCTGTTGTGGCTATACATAGGGCTGATGCCCTTCTACATAGGAACAATCCATGTCAGAGAGTGGAAAAATCAGTTTTCCACACTGTTTCCTGATCACCATCAGGTGCATTAGATTTGCTGCCCACCCTGAAGAAGTGTCACTCCTTCAAACCTTTAAGATCCACCTGCACTGTCAGCTACCTACCATTTCTTGTTTCTCCTGGACAGCATGGCTCCTGCAGGAACAATACTGCCAGGGTGTCCCTTGTTACCAGATCCGCCCATTACTTTGGGGTATGCTCATTTATTCGGGTTAT